CCGCAGGAATTAGTTTAGTGGTGCAGGACTGACTCATCCCTGCTCCAAAGCAGCTTTTGGGTTGCCTTCATACTGCCAGGCTCAGGGTCTAGTGTGTTTTTGTTGTTGTTGTTGCTTTTTCTTTTTGAGACAGTGTCTCGCTATGCAGTTCAGGCTGGCCTTGAGCTCGCTTTGTAGCCCAAGCTGGCCTCGAACTTGCAATATCCTCCTGCCTCAGCCTCCCGAGTGCTGGGATTACAGGCATGCGCCACCACGCCCAGCCAGGGTCTAGTGTTTCATACCTAGCTTGCTACATAGCTTCAGTTCTGCACTCATTAGCCCTCAGATGACTTCCATATTTTCATTTGCACTGCGTTGTCAAGGAAAAGACAGCATGGTGTTCCCACCATAGTCCCGCGGTGTTCCTGCTAGTTCTGGGATGGGGTCGTGTGTCGTGCCAGCCTTTCTTTCCTAGTATCTCTTAAGAGCTTTTGCAGGAAGAGGAAGGGAGTTGTTCTGTGAGGTAGTAAGGTGTGTGTCAGTCACACAAATAAGCAAGGAAATCCTGGGCTTGGGAGGGACTGGAGGGAAGGGGGTGCAGGTGCTAAGATGCATTATGACACAGACAGCTCCCCGTGATGAACGGACCTTTGTGTATTGCGGATATACGCACTTTTTAAAAAAGAAAAATTGCCAGGCGTGGTGGCACACGACTGTAATCCCAGCACTTGGGAGGCTGAGGCAGGAGGATCCCTGTGAGTTCAAGACTAGCCTGGGCTACAAAGTGAGCTCAAGACCAGCCTGAACTGCATAGCGAGACCCTGTCTCAAAAAGACAAAAGAAAAAGAAATTTTGAAAAAGATCTCACCAAAACAAGCAAAAAGCCCAGTACATGGAAACGTTGCCTCTAAACCAGCCTGTCCATGGCCCACTCATCCCATTTCCACAACCAGCCTGATGTTGTCAGGTCTCCCCCGATGTTTTGTAATTTGTAAAATGAGCATTATAGCATCAGGGGTGAGAATTAAACTAACACATAAAACAGGAGGAACAGTACTTGGTGTTACATGCCCTCAATAAATGCAAAACATCGCCATTAAGTCAATAACACACGAATGCATTGCTATCTAGTTTTCATCTTAGATACCACACCTTGGGACTCAGCATGAGCAAACAATTGCACAACCCATCCTTTTGTTTGTTTGGCTGACTTTGGTTCTTTTGAGGCAGGGTCTTGCTAAGTAGTCCAGGCTGGCCTTGAACTCCTGATCCTGCTGCCTCTGCCTCCTGAGTGCTGGGATTACAAGTGCATGCCCTGGGCTCAATTCTCCTTCCATTTTTAAAAAAATGTTTTCAGTTTTTTCTCAAGAAACCCTGAGCCTGTACTTACAAAAACTCTTTGTTCCCTTTTTTTTTTTTTTTAATATCCCCTGCTCTTTTTATTTTGAGACAGGACACCATCATGTTCTCCACGCTGGTCTCCAATTTGCATTCCCCCTGCCTCAGCCTTCTGAGTAGTAGTGGAATTACAGGTGTGCGTCACCAGCCCAGCTCTCTGGCTTGCTGTATAGTTCAGTTCTGTGCTCATTAGCTGCAAAATTCCTTCCTGCTATCTTAATGAAAGCTCATTAGATGCAGGGAGGAATGCACACAGCAGAGATAGCTCCAGTGGAATGAGGAGCTGATAGACTGCCCTAAGCTCATGGTGTTGTTACTGAGTTAGGACTGAGTTTAGGCATGTGCTACCTGGCTGGTGTTTATCATCTGCTAGAGAAAGAGGAGAGTAGCAAGAAAGCTTGGAGGAACTTGCGGCTGCATCCAGAAGCCCTGTGGGCCCTTCCTCAATGGAGCCTGTGAATGCTGCGGTTCACTCTGCCAGGCCTGGATCGTGCCAGCACCCCATTCCTGCACCTTCTAACTCCTATTTCTCATTCAGTTCCCAGCTCGGGTACTGATTCCTCCTGAGACAAGGTTTCTGGTCCCCTCAGTCAGGCCTTCCCTCAGTTCTTTCTCACAGGGAACTGTCACAGCACCTCACGTGGTCTGTGATCACACTAAGGGTGATTCGATGGGTCTGGGTACTTGTGCTTAGTCTGACACTTAGTCGTCAACTTTGTAAGTAACGGATGACGGCTGCCCCCCTTCTCAAACTTTGAAAGTTTTCTCCTGAATTTCTTCCCTGGAGATGGACAGATGAGAACTTAAAGAAGCAGGCAGAGGTGAGGGGCTGGGGCACTGGCAGCTGGTGGGACAGAGCCCAGCATGGGCACAGCGGGCACACGCAGCACAAATCAAAGAAGGGTAGAGGCCAGGCCTGGAGTGCACACTGTGGTCCCAGCACTGGTAAGATCACGAGTTCCAGACCAGCCTCTCTCCATGCTGAGACCCTGTCTCAAATAAAGAAGTGTACAATACCAGAGTTAGAGTTGTTCTTAGAGATTATCTGATCCAACTTCTTTGGTATGCACAACCCCCGCAGATTCATGGTTTAGTGTTTTGTTGAGGATATCACCAGCCACCTTCTGAGTAACAACTCCACCCACAAATAAAAGATGCATTTCAAACTGCAAGAACTGAAAAGAGACCCATCAACCACATCCGCTTCCTTCAAGGATTTTTCCCTCTGAGACTGAAGCCACACAAAAGAGAGAATAAATTCTTGTAACTTAAAATGCGTTTGGGGGTTGTTGTGTTTTATTCTGTTTTTGGTGTCTTTTGTAGGAATTGTTCGGTTTTATTTTTTGGTTTGTGGGCTTTTCTTGGAGGAGGGTACTTGAGACTTGAACCCAGGACCTTGCACAGGATAAGCAAGCTGTGTACTACTGAGCTACAACCCCAAGCCAAGGACAAGCTTTTCATGCCATTTCCTTTGTAATCTCATTTTAAATCCCAAATGACTTTATCATGAGACTATGAGGAAGCTTCAAAAGGATCTATTGAATCTCAGTGGAAAAAACTACCTATTTAAAGTTGCTGTAATAAGAAAAAAACTGAAGTAGCATCTAATGCCAGCACAAAACTATTTTACACTGATATCAACATTAAGTAGGTCAAATATGAGGACTTAAAAACTCTAGATTAAGGGAATGAAAAAAACCAAAAAATTATTTTTACAGTATTCCTTTTTGGTTTTTTCCTTTCTTTTCTTCCTGAAAAAGGGAAGATTTGCCTTCACACGTCCTCCACGCCCACCAAGACCTTGTGGTATGGGTCAAACATACCACACCCAATCTGTTGAACTCATTGCCTGAAGCTTCTTCCATTGAAAAGAAAGGCCAAACATTTATCAAAGAACATAAACACTGTTAATGTGTTGATGGCTAAATATCCTGTCCCAACAAGATAATGACACCCTTCAGTCGGGTAAAGTCCAAGTTCCCAAAAAGTCCCTCAGGAGTGACTAATGCGGGGGATTCCAGCCACGGAGTCAGACTCGTGGGTTACAACATGCTTGAGCACTTCAGTCTCCTTGTCCTTAGAGAGCATGCTGTACCGGGCTTCCTGTCCCTGACTTTGGGCAGGGTTGACCCTGGAGATCCCACAGCCAGCTACTTCCAGTGAAACAGTCTGATAATCCAAGGGTGCAAAACACTCTGTGGGAGTTCAGGTTCCTGCAATAGACAGTTTTCAAAGACAAAGGCTACTCATAGAAATCAAGGGATTCAGACTGAGTCTATGCAAAGAATGTTTACAAATTAAGAAAACATAAACAACCCAATAGAAAAATAAGCAAAAATTATTAACTGGGAACTCATAAAAATTAAAGGGAAATGACCCACAAACATTTGAAAAGAATCTACCATGTTTAGAATGCATTGCCCTTGGTAGCAATTCTACCTCTCCTTATTCATCCTAGCAAATTCTCCACATACACAAAATGAGGTGTCCTTTTTTTTTTTTTTTTGAGACAGGTTCTCACTATGCAGTTCAAACTGGCCTTGAACTCACTTTGTAGCCCAGGCTGGCATCAAACTTGCAGCAATCCTCCTGCCCCAGCCTCCCAAGTGCTGGGATTACAGGCATGCGCCACCACACCTGGTGTAAGGCACCTTAAAGGATCCTCACTGCAGTACTACTTGTGCTTTTTTTTTTCAAGTGGGATAGTATTTCTCTGCTCTTATTCTCCAATCTGAAATTAATAGATGCCAGCCTTCCCATGCCCGAGACATCACTAATGATCCCCTAAACTCATTGCTTAGGATGGCTGAAACCGCAGGCACAGTACTAGGGCTATGGTAGGAAATACCCTGAGAGGGCAGGAAACGGCCAGAAAGAATTCAGATCTTTTAAGCTATCATCAAGGCAACGGCTTTAAACTTTGGAGCAATCCTACCTAGTGATTTTCCCACCTCTTGTCTTCCTCCTCCTTATTCTCCTTCTCCTTCTTTTTCTTTTAGATCTTCAGTGTTTATTGATGCGAACTTTTAAAATAGGGTGTCTAACTTTCCTTACCCAGTCACCCACTAACTCTAAAATTTGATAATTTCACCATAGCTTTTAGTACCACATCCGTGGTCTTCCTCTCCAGCGTAACCCATGTAACCCTCCCCAGGATAAACACAAATGTATGGTTCATGAAGATTCTGAAACTATCACTAAGTATTAATAAAGGCTGTACTCTGAGTCCTTAGGAGGTGTCCAATGCAGAATTTTGAATGTATTGTCCTATTATATCTTCACCATATTTCTGAAAGGCAAGAACTAATACGACCCCCATTTTGTGGTTCAGAAAACTGCTGTGAAAAGATTCAGTAACTTCTGAGGGTCAACCCCAGGAGACAGTGGCAAAGCTGGGACTCGGAGCCGGCCTCTGGGCCAGGGTCCCACAAAACGTCCCTCACCGTCCTCTGGAATTTGTAAGGCTCCAGTCCACCCCACACAGACACACTCCAAGGCCACCGACCGGTGAGCTTTTCCTGGACTTCACCTCACTTAAGTTGCTCCCCTTCCAAGATCTTGACTCCTGAGAAGCCATATTCTCACCTCGGCTCCCAGGCCTCCATTTTTCCATGATCACTCACCCTGTTTGTAATCCTAGTGGTATCCATTGACGTCTTCATCCCTCGCTTTCCATCAATTTATCCTCATGCAGGTAATATCGTGTCCCAACAAGAGAACAGCATCCCACACAGCGTCCCGTGCCATTTTGATCTCTCTGGCTTAGCATTTTCAAGCTGAATAGAATGAAAAAGGTGCTGTCTGTGTTCTTACTCCATGAACACAAAGTTTCTGGGGAAAGGCAGAAGGTTGGGTCTGCGGGAATTAAACATGTCTACTTTCAGCTAAGTGTTCGTGACTGCTCAGAAATTATTTCATTCATCTCCCGTTAACAGTCACCTTTTTAGAGCGTCTCCTCTATCTTTTAGTTTCCACACCATTCGCAGAAACCTCTCAGCGTTGAAAAATCACTGTCTTAGTTTCTTCCCTCATTATTGGGACAAAATACCCGACACCTATGACTTAAAGAAAGACAGGTTTATTTGGCTGGGATTTCAGTCCATGTTCCAGTGGCTCCTGGGCAGAACAGCACGACAGAGGGGCTTGGCGGAGGACAACTGCTCGAGGCGTGGCGACAAAGAAGCACAGTGAGGTGAGAGGAGCCGGAAGGGAATGATAGCTTCCGGGTCAGGCCCCAGCGACCCTGTGCCCTGGCCGGATTTCACCTCACAACCGGAAGTCAGCTGTAAGCCCTGTAGTCCGGTCACCTATACAGGAGGCTTCGAGGGCCGTTTCAGATCTAAAGCTAATGGTCGCTTTCTCCTTCACCAGTAAGATCCAGGCCGTGTGAGGTGGACTTGGCATGACTTCTCTTTCTGTATCTGAGTATGTCTTGGTGATTCTGGTCTACCCACCCCTTCTCTGCCCCCAGGGGGGACGCAAGTCTCCTCCGGAAGGCCCAGCCCGGCCCGTTCCCGCTCTCCCCTGCCTCCGGCAGGAGCTTCTGCCACAAGACCTCTCTTGGCGCAGCTTTCATCTGCTCCCTGTTTGAGGTCCCCAAGCCCTCTCCCTGTTACAGTTCTTTCCCTTGGCCTCACGACCGGCTCAGCTGGTGCCCTGTGTATCTTCTGCTTTTCTTTGGAGAACATCTTTAAAAGGTAGGCTGCCATCACAGCTCCCACGTCCCTCCCATCCACTCACGCCTCAGTTCTTTGGAATTTGGATTCCACCCCTGGTTCTCTTTCTAAAGCTGTGCGTGCAAAGGTCACACAGATACCCATAGTTGGCTAGGCCTGCAGATTCTCTTAGGCCTTCCTGTACTGCTGGGGCTGCTGAGCAGTCCCCTCTTCCCTGTGAATTCCTCCTCCCTTGGTGCTGTGACTTCTGGATCTACTTCCAGGTCACTAATTTGTCTTACTGTGTTACCGGGTTACTCTTCCTCCTCCCTTCTGCTGTGAGCAAAGACACCTACTGAGGCTGAGGCTCCTCAGCACTCCCTTCTCCGTATTCCTCCCAGGTTCTCAACTATTACCACTGTGCATATTATTCTAAATGTACTTTTCCTTTTTTCCAAATAAAGGCTTTATTGTTTTCTGGAGCTTTATCTGTTTAAAAAAAATTCTTTAAATTTGTATTAGTACATGTTTGCAGTATATAATGATCATACTTCTATGGGGATTATAATCCTAGCACTTGGGAAGCTGAGGCAGGAGATCACTCCCAGTTTGAGGCCAGCCTGGACTTCACAGTGACTTCAAGGCCAGCCTGAACTGCATGTGAGACCCTGTGTCAAACCACCCCCCCCAAAAGAAAAGAAAATATTAAAAATATCCCCTACCACTTGAAGGACAGAAGGATTCAGAAGTGACCAGGCTTACTGGAATGCCCCATTGGTGCCTCTAGTTCAGTATTCAAGTGTGCACTCTCATTAGGCACATACATTCATCTTCTGGGTCCGCGTGTGACAGGCCACTGGGTACCCAGTGGAGACAGTCCTGGCTGTGCCTGTGGGGCGGATTCCAGATGAGGCCCCCACAGGATCTGTGGGTGTGCCCCCCCCCCCAGGGGGGAGTGCGCCATTAAGCCCACGGGGGCCTGGAGGAAACCCAGGTGGAGGAAGGAGGACTTCCACTTTCCCTTTGGCTTCCGGCCTGCCTGCCTGAGCAGGGGCAGCTCTCCCCGCCTTCAGCCCTGGCTGGAATTCATACCGTCACCGCCCCCGCGCCTCGCTGGGCCGTGGGCTGAATCGCAGGGCCAGCTTTGCTGGGTCTTCGGTGTGTCGGAGCTCCTGGTCACCGTTACCATCTCAGCCAGTTTCTCACAATAAACCCCCTCCCGCCGCCGCCCACCCTGCTCTCAAAATATCCTAGTACCCTGCGCTGTATTTGCAGAGCGTGGTTAACTCCGAGAAACGGAAACCATGGAGACCACGGTCAAGGGAGGAGCTGTAGTTACTGTACTCGCTGTTCGTCCACAGATGCCTCTCACCTTCCTCCCACCGGACACACACGCGTGCTTTCTGCCCCCGGCCTGGCTCTTTGCCTAGCGTGTCCCCACCCAGGTCCGATGCCATCTTTCCTGTGGGCTTTCTCTCAGTGCCACCAAAACACCAGTGGCTTCTCCCTCGTTGAATTTTTCCATAACTGCGTTACTTCTCTTATTTTAATCACTCATCTTGTGTAACGGTTATTGATGAAAAGCTGTCATTCTTGTCACTAAACTTCAGCATCACCAAAGGAGAGAAAGCATTTTAGTCATCAGCCTGTTGCCTGCAGTATCTCTCAGAACCTTATCAAGTAGGGTTTTTGGGGGCTTGGGGGATTTTTGGTTTTTTGTTTGTTTGTTTTTGGCTTTTTGAGACAGGGTCTCACTGTGCAGTTCAGGCGGGCCTTGAGCTCACTATGTAGCCCAGGCTGGTCTCGAACTCACAATGATCCTCCTGCTTCAGATTCCCAAGTGCTGGGATTACAGGCATGCGCCACCACACCCAGCTTACCAAGTAGGTTTTGAGAATTTAAAAACTCATTTCTTTTTTTTTTCTTTATGTAGTCCTGGCTAGCTTTGAACTCACTATGTAGTTCAGGCTGGCCTTGAACTCTCAGGGATCCTGCTGCCTCAGCCTCCCAGGTGCTAGGGTTACAGGTGTGCATCACCATACTCGACTCTAAAAACTCATTTCTGAGTCAAAACCAACTGGGAAAAAAAAAAAACTAAGGTCAGATTTGTGGAAAACTAACAGCTTTGTTGCTAATGAAAACCAGATTGGACAGAGACAGGAAGTTCATTGTCAGTAAACCATGGAAAGAGGCCACAGGGGAAACCAACCCTGCTGACACCTTTTCTTGTTTTTCATTTGTTTGGACTGGTTTGGTTTTACAAGAAACTCATTGTGGAGTCAGGCTGGCATGGGGCTCTCTACATAGCTTGGGCCGTCCTCAGACTCAGGTCCTCCTGCCTCAGCCTCCAGAGTGCTAGGATTCCAGGCTTCCTCCACCATGCCTACTTTGTTCCTATTTTTGCCTGCTGACATCTTATTCTTGAATTTCCAACCTCCACCTCTGTGAGGAGTGGACCTCCTTTGTTTAAGGCCCCAGTCTGAGGTGCTTATGGAAGCCCTAGCAAATCACACAGATGACTAAGATTTTTCTAAGAAAGATAAGAAATTCAAAACCTAAAGAGAGCCAGGTGGGATGGTGCACACCTGCAACCCCGCATTCAGGAGGCTGAGGCAGGAGAATTGATTGAAAGGTCGAGGTCAGCCTGGGCTACATAGTGAGTTCAAGGACAGCCTGATCTGCACAGCGAGACCCTGTCTCATAAAAACAAAACAAGGGCTGGGGATATCGCTCAGCAGCACAGCGCCTGCCTGGCAAGTGCAAGATCGTGAGTTCATTCTGAGTACCAAAAAAACAAAACAAAACCCTTTTAAGAGAAATGATAGATTTGGCTACATAAAAGTTTAAAATTTCTGCATAGAAATAAAAGTAAAGCCCAACAATAGTAAAAAGTACCACTAAGGCACACACCTGCAGTCCCAGTTGCTTAGAAGGCTGAGGTGAAGGATAGTCTGAGCCCAGTAGTTCACGGCGGCATGGGCAATACAAAAAGGCCCTATCTCAAAAAAAAAAAACAAAAAAGAAAGAAAGAACCCGCCCCCTCACCCAATCCCAAGGACGGATAATGAGCTGGGGAAGCTGGTGTGGTGACTCATGGCCGAGGCAGGAAGGTCACAAGGTCAAGGTCTGCAGGCGCTGCACAGAGAATTCAAGGCCAGCCCCAGTGAGAGGCTGTCCCCGCTGAAAAATACATAAATAAAGCCGGGGAGAAAAAGAATGACACTCCAAATGTTACTTTCCTTGTTAAAAAAAAAAAAGTGGGGGCCCAAGATGGCCAGATTCCCTGTGTTGCTCTCCTGCCCCACCCCCAGCTAAAAACTAGAGTTCTAGATTTTATACGACGTCTTCTGATGGTTTTATATTGAAATGTAATCACAAAGTTCAACACTGTACCAGCCAACGCTGTGTGCAGCTCTCGGCTTAGGCTCCCTGCTGTACACTGCCCCTCCAGGGAGAACAGGCCAGCCGTGCAGAATGAAGAGTTCTTCTCAGTCATGCAGAACCGCGCACGCACGCACGCACGCACGCACGTACGCACGCACGCACGCACGCATGTAGAAATACAACTGAATTATTTGATGATACCGTACCCCTCAAACAGGAGGCTCATCGTCTACCTCACAGCCGAAGTCTTCCCCGAGCGCATGGCACACAGCCAGACCAGACTGCTGTGCGTCAGTACCAGCACAGACCCACTGACCACCTCCTTGTCCCCAACCCACGGGTCACATGGGCCACTCCTCTTCCAGGGAGGGGCGCGAGTGATGGCGCAGAGACCTGGGCTGCCTGTCCAGCTGCAGGCAAGGGGACCGGCTTCAACAAAGATGGCAAGAGCTGAAAGGACCATCTATCCTCAGCTGGTCCCAGATGTATGGGACAAGGGATGGAAGAGAAGTGATTCAGCACCCGGGAATCTAGAGATTCCCCAGAATGTAGTCACAGTGATAGTAGCAATAGCAACATATGCTGAATTCTACAGCGCGTCAGGGCAATGTTTTAGATTTTTCTTTTATTAACATTAACTCGGTGAAGATCCCAACATATCTATGAAGTATGGACCTTATCTCCATCTCACAGAAAAAACAAACTAAGATTTAAAAGTTGCCCAAGTTTACACGGCTGGCAAGTGGTGAAGCTGTAAACTTCAGTCTCCCTATATAACCCAGCTCTTCGTAAAAAAAGCATATTAACAGCTCTTTTCAGATCGTTGTGCTATGTAAAATGCCACAACCCACATCCACTCCCCTACACCCAGCCATTTAAAAACCTCTAGGTTTCTTTGTTATAAATAGCTTATTACTGGTTGGGTAGCTCACACATTAAGAGTGTCTGTTATTGTGGGATCAAAGCATTAACTGGTTGCATCAGTAATGAAGCCTTCCTCTCCGGAATCTAGACAGCCTTCTGCAGGCAACCAATACCACCTCCCAGTTCTGCTCTTTGTCGGCCATTTTTGCTTTGTAAAATATACGTTTAAGTGATCAGATTCTCTTGTCCGTGTCTCCCCTTCTCCTATGCCCATTCCCAACACATGAAGGCACTTCTTTTCTTGAAAAAGTTCAGTTTATTACAAAGGCCCTTTGTTTAGCTAAGAAAACATGGCAGAAGCTATGTGGGGTGAGGGGTTATCGTGGGAATGAAAAATTCTTTGTCAATTAAATTCCAGCCAGACAGAATTAAATGATGCTTTCCTGCAGTGTGCAGAGTTAGCACAAAGCAGCACTGCGTCATGAGAAGGGGTAGGCACATGTGCCACTGGATTATTCAGGACATCTGCTCTGCCTCCTGTGCCACTTCCAGGACAAAGCTCCAGGCCAATGCCCCGTAGGAGTCTAAGGCCAGGAACAAAGCCTGCCCAGCACGGCCACAAGCCAGGCAGAGGTGGTGCCATGCACTCCCCAAGTCCCAGGATAACCAGGCAGGCACAGGTGGACGAAGGTAGGCCAGGGGAAGCACAGTAGGGCAAAGAGACCTGCGCGCATGGAGCGGTTTTTATAGTACCGCGGCCACTCTGCTGCGCTCTGATGGCTGCTTTGACAAAAAGTTTAAATTATGCTGGGCAGAATCTGGGTGGAGTCTGGTATGCCCTGATATACTTTCACAGCCCCTGCTCAGCCCAGCCCAGCCTGGGGCAACCCACTCAAAGAGTCAGAAATCCCACTTAGCTGCTGGGGAAATAGACATCTTGGCCTCTGCCCCAACCCTGCACCGATTATCCCATTGGCTTCATCTGGGCAAATCCAATGTGGTTATTATTTCACAATATCAATCAAGCAAGGGCCCTTCAGAAAATAAACACAATGTCCACCGGTGTTAAGCTTGTCACCTAAGGAAGAATACTCGTCCTCTGTAAAGCACTTGCATAGTATTTAGTGCATAGGTACCAGTAGTACTGATTCCTATTATTGTACCTACCAAAAATCAGCGTATCTGCTTATTCTTCTAAAAATTACATCTTGGTGGGACTCTGGGACTCTGATTTTGTGCCTTGGCATTTTCTTGTATCACTCGAACTTCATATTCCCCAGATAACCTCTTTATTCTCTGTCTCTCTGTCATTCTCTGTCTCTGCCTCTGTCTGTCTGTCTGTCTCTTTCACATGCACACATGCACACAGGCACACACAACCTTACCCTCAGGATCAGAATTCAGTGCCTCGTACTTAAAAGAATATTTCTCAACATCCCAATTGAATTTTTAAAAGAATATTTCTCAACATCCCAATTGAATTTTTATATCTTACCACTGAAAGGAGGAAAAAAAAAAAGTCTTTGTCATGTTCTTGAAAATCTGTCTGTGTTTAAAAGCTTGATAACATAAGCCTCTCTGCTAAATGATCAAAATTAAATTCTTGAAGTTGTGTTTCCATTTAAAGCCTAAGTGTTGAAGGGGAAATGGCTCTGCTGAGGATTACACAAGTCTTTCCAGTCAGCAGGATGTCGTTCAAAATGCATTTCTAAAGAGCATGAGTTACAATTGTTTCATACTTGCCAAAAAGTTATAATTCCTGTTTTGAAGCCAGTGAAAGCTCAGCTGCTTCTGACTGGGTCAGACCTTACTGGAAATAGAGCCCTTCAGTGGCTGAATCACTGAACAAAATCATGTATGAATGCCGACGTTGTGCGGGGAACCCAGCTGGACCTCTGCCTTGCAGCCACTTGTAGGGTAACAGGGACAAGGGAGAGGGCTACACAGGAAGATGTACATGGGAAGCCGGCCTGAATCACACGCTGAAGATCACAGGGTGTGAAGACTCTAAACTAAACTTTACTAAAAGTAAAGCCATTACTGATACCGCAGCAGGGGTTCCCTGGAAGTCATCTTGCTCTTTCGCCCATCTACTCCTTCCTATTTCTTTGCTGAAGAGACGTTCCCACCTAGACTAGGTGTTACCGCTAAGCCTTTCTTTACATTGACAGAGTCCCAATATATTTTGAATCCGAAGGATAGAACCTAGAGGTGCTGTACCCCAGAGCTGTATCCCCAGGCTGTTTTAATTTTTATTTCAGGACAAGGTCTCGTTAAGTTGCCCAGGCTGGCCTTGAACTTGTGATCTTCCTGCCTCAGTCTTCCAAATAGCTGGGATGACAGCTCGTGTGCCACCACACGGAGCTGTGCATGGTTTTTGTAGCACCCATCTTTGGTAACTAGCTACAGGAGGCCAACATCCATTCTGGTGCTCTGGAGAAGTCATACGTCCTCGCTGACGCTGATGAAGACCCACCCTTACTACCTGCTTCATTCCCCAAAGAAGCCAGCTGTGCCCATGACCTGGCAAGGTAGCACTTGAAAGAGCAAGGCCTCTGTCTTCTTAATGGGCAACGTGAATAAACCTAGTTCCTTCCTACCGTCTCTCATCTCCCTAGTACAGGTGCCCAAGCAGGAGGCAGGCTGGATCTTTGAGTCTGGTCAAGCACCCTTTTACCCCTAAGGGAATTCCATACCTCTTGCTGAAACAAAAGTGTAATTTTCTCATCTTTCCCACTGTGTATAATGTAGTAGCATTTCACCAGTGCCCATAATATGTAGCAAGATAAAGTCCTAAGAGTCGTTAACTTGCCTGACCTTTATTTACTTACTTCTGACTGCAGTCTGCAATCTGTGTTTGGAGATCAACCCCTTTTTCTTCTCTCCGTCCATGTGGTTCCTACACAGCTAACTTCCCCCTCTGGGAAATGTTACGTGATCCAGACGTGGTGGAACTGACCACTGTTTTACACGGTATCTGTTACTAACTCACCATCATGCTAGTGATATTCTCAGAAATTGTTGGAACCATCAATACAATAGACCCCTCCTTTCTTGCTGAACTCCTGTCTGAGTTACTGTCTGTGTTGCTGGCACACAATACCCAACACCCACAAATTAAACAAGAAGAGGTTATTTCTGCTTCTCAGTTTGTGTAGGTTTCAGTCCACAGGTGGCTCCAAGGCAGGGAAGCATGGAAGAGGAGCGTAGCAGAGGAATAGCTGCTCGTGCCCTGCTGTCCAGGAAAAGGGCTGAGCCACAGAGGGAGACAAACCCTTCTAGGCCATGCTTCTATTGACTGGCCTCTTCTAATCAGACCCACTGCCTAACTGCCAGTCAGTTTGCTGATAAGTGTAGCATCTATGATCAAATCACCTTGCAAAACTTCATCTCTGAGCACGTGAGACTTTTGGAGGGGGATATTTTAGATTTAAACCATAACATTCTTCCATTGGCTCCCAAAAGACTCACATCCTTCTCATTATGGAAAATGAATTTAGTCCATCTATAAGAGTTGTAATTCTTATTGAATTAACTGCCTATAATCCAACTACCTTCCAAAAACTCTGTCTGTGATCACAAGGCTTTAGGGAGACATCTAGATATAAATCATAACCACTCATTCCAGAACTGTTGTGAAGATGGGGTGGCTGTTGCACTCCTCTCATCATGAAGGGCCTTCCAAGGACGCCTGAGCATGCTGTACACGGATCCTAGCATCCAG